GAGTGGGAGTTTTTCTGAGTTCATACTTAAAACTAAGCAGCTCTGCATGTTGACATGCCTTCAAGGGAAATCTTTGACAATTAGGAAAAGCCAGTCTGTTTACTCACCATCCGTTTCAGTGTAAAGTACGTTTGGTTCTATAACTGTTGAGTATTAAGAATAAACTGTGAAGATAGCACTTACTGATTTCTATTTAGAATCCCCTTGGTAGAGTTTTGCAGACAAAAGGCTAACCATGTCCTAATGACAAGGTCTTTCTGTATTGTAGGGGTTCACTGTTTTGTTGCCTCTTAGCCGTATTGTTTGAGAATGAGTCAGGACTGCGTGAATAATGTTTTGGAAAATTGCTTTCTCAGGCGCATTAATATTTCTTTTTGAAAATGCACATTAACTATCAGTCTGGCTGGATACTTGGGGAGATCCTGTAAGATGTAAAACGGTTTAGAGTGCTTTCAGTTTCAGAGAGTGCCTTCTGAAGTTGCCAGGAATGATATCGGATCTTGTGGGAGGAAGTCTCTTCCAATATTCTAGGTTTCTGTAAATATATGAGTTATATGGTTATAAAACCTTACATTGGAAAATATGTTTAAGAAACATTAGTGCACTCCAGGCAGGGACCACATAAAAGATGCCAAAACGATTAATGCCCTAGTTAAGTGTCTCACCCAAGCCCTGTTTTCTGGAACTGGATAAACAGAACGTCTTTTTTCTTTCTATTCTGAGCTTTCATCCCCCCCCCCCCAATCTAGCCACTTCAATGGAATGATAAATGGAAATTTTATTTCCTGCATCTACAGACCTATTTACCTGAATGTCTGAGCTCGCCCTTGCCTTTCTCAGGTCTACTCTTTCTTGAAATGTGCTTTTACTTTCATCTTCCTGGCTCTATTGCCCTCTTTTTTTTTTTAAAGCCTTTTCTAATCCTGCACTCTGTGTGCTTTAATCTGTAACACTGGACTTTGCTTGCCATTCTGCATAGCTGCCTTTAAACTTGCATTATCTTCCAGAGTTGCATTTTCTTTCATTATGCATTTAAATCCCTTTCCACAGTCTGCAGTAGTGAAAAAAAATAAAGAACTGTTATCAAAAGCCATTTCTGCCACTTTAAAAGGTCTAGTTGAATGGCTTTACCCCCTTTGATAATTCCATTATGTTCGCAGACTGTGACTTGGACTTACCATTCTGTCGTGTGTATGCACGTGTATGTACTTGTATTTCCTACAGACAGGAAGAACCTTATGCCCTGTGCCCTTTCTAGTCTTTTATTTTTGGAACTTGCAGAACTGATGATTTTAAAATGAGAACAGGGGTGTATGTGTTTATAAACAAATGACAGAGACTGTATGTGACCTGTGTAGCAAAAATTTGCTGACCCCTTATGGATTTAACTTATTTAAAAGCATGTCTGTTTGTGGGACAAAACCTTTTCACCCCCCCCCAAAGTAAAGTGCTTAATTGTTTGGAATAGTATGTTATTCCAAACTGACTGGCCAGTTGGGGAGACTTTGAAGCAAAGTTGTAACCTTTTCCTCATGGTTCACCCCCATGCTCTAGCTTTCTGTCTGGAAAATGGTGCAACTGACCTAGATGCTCTCTGCAATTAAAAGCATGTTGGGCTGGATGTGAGTGGCTATGGTGTGTGAATGTTCCATGGGAAACACCTGCCAGTGGAACTGGAGGAGGCCTGGGAAATCATTCGTGGTTGATATCATGGCTCTCCTGCCCCTGCACGTACGGTCCTCCCCGGCCTGGGCCTTTCTGCTGCTGCAGCAGGCAGTGTGCTTCCCATCACTTTACTGAGGTGGAAATAGTACAGATCACAGTTAAGAGAGAAACATCTATTCAGGGCTCAAAGAAATGTGCCAGCTGTGCTGGCCGTGGCCGTGAAATGTTTTTTTAACTCCGCTTAAACCTCTTTAAGCATTTGCTGAGGAATGTTAAATCAACCAGAGAATTTTGGGTGTTAGGTTGCCCAGACCGATATTGTATAGCTCTCGTGGGTGTCCCTGAGAGATTTTCGCTGTCCACCACTGGCGTCGTCTGCATCCTGTGATGCTTCTGGACTGACTTTGACCTGAACCCCTTTGCCCTTGTGCAGTTAAAGCACCAGACTCAACAGCTTCTCTCTTGAGCTTCTCAGCCACTGGATCACCCCATGTGCTCTGCGCCATCTCTTCACACATCAGACTTCTCTCCCTTTGTAATAAAAGGCAGCTGGAAGTTAGGGATCTTTCACTGTATTTCCAAAACAAACCAACAGAACAACATGTTTGGCCGTGATATTATAGTGCAAAGTTAAAGTAAACTGGAAATAGAAGCCCTTCCTCCCCAAACCCCATCTCTAAGTCCCGGTTTATTGCTGACCACGTAGAACCAGAGGCCAGAGCACAGCTGCTTGGAGGGCTGAAGGTCCTCGTGGTTACGGCATGCTTTGGAAATTCGCCCCCACTGGACTTGCAGTTCATGAAAATATTTGTTTTGTATAATGTAAACAAAGTTTATGGGCAGACTTTGTAATTAGGAAACTCTTAATTCTCTTTTTACCCTTGAACCCCCAGTTTCTCCTGTATCACATTAGAGAATACTAAGTAAGAAAATAAACCCCTTCTCAGTAATGGGCTTTACTTTTTATTTCTGGTATTGTCACAATACATGCATTTCTTCCTAATTTTGCATTCCCATTCAAATCAAGGGACTTGAAATCCAGGTTGCCGTGTTTTTGTATAGGTCAGAAATACTCATGTGCGAGTAGCAAAGGCTGTGCCTTCCTTGTCAGAATGCCCGCCCCTGCCCGGCCAGGGCATTGACCAGCCTGGTCAGTGACTTAGGCAGCACAAGGGCAGCCCCGGGGCAAGGCTGTTCCCTTTAAACCACAAGGAAAACCACCACCACCTCTTCAAGGGCCCATCCCGCAGCCCGTGTGCATAGCCCCCTGGTTGTGGGTTGTGGGTTGTGGCATTAGTCTTTCCAAGGTCTTGTCTGTCTCCTAGTGTTTCTTGCTAAACATCCAGGAATGGGCAGGCACTATTCTTGCAGGCACAGCACCTGTTTGCATTCCTAAGGTGACACCGTTGTGATAGGGACTGGTCATGACCACCAAGTATTGGCCCAGAGAAAGCAACTGTCCTTTCTACTTTCACAGGTCTCCCTGATGTAGGGGGCATTTGGCCCCAGTGGGGGTAGGCCTTATGATACACTCTTAGCTTTGCCTTAAGATCCATTTCATTGCCAGACGGCTGCAGGAGAGGCAGCTGGGAGACGTCATGTCCTTCCTCAAGACCCCTCAGAAGGCGGTTTTTATAAGATTTTAGGCTTGACAGTGGTGGCGTAAGGCTGGCTCCTGGGTCCTGGGGATCGGAGGTGGTGGTATTGCACAGTGCAGACTCAGGGAGCAGGGCGGAGGGTTGCAGGAGGACCAGCGTGGGGACATGGCTATTCACATGGACTTGGGGGGTAAGGAGCTCCCCCAACTCCCACATGCTTCCTCCCATCAGGGAGAGACTTGTATTTGTCTTGGGCATTTGCATGAATGTTCTTGTTTTTGAAAACTCCTGGTAATTCTTTGGGTTTTTTTTTCTTCAGATGTCAGTCCTTTTGGCTTTTAGTGATAACTCTTCAGTTTCCAAGTTTATTAAAACCCTTTCAAGCATAGCCGGCCCAGGTGAGACTGACATTACTTTGCCGATGTTGCCAGCTTCCCTGTCCTGGCACTGTGGCTTTTCTGTCCACAGTGCGGGTAGTTTTGAGCTGCCTTTGAAAGTCAGGCTTCAGCTTGTTTGCCTCTTTTAAATGCCACCCCCTCCAGGTCTGGTGGGGGAAAAACAAGCACGGGATGCAGTTTGAACTGGATGGTTTGGGTTCGTATCCCCTCTGAGCCTTGTGCACAAGGACCTGCAGAAAATGAGTCCCTGCCTGTGTAGTCAGCCCTCGGGTCACAGCCAGGCCTTGAGTGCTCAGTCTGGAAGGCGTAGTAGGGGTCACTGGGATGGCATCTGCCAGACCCATTTGCTTGTGGAATACTGCCTACGCTTTCCAGTTCTGCTGTACGTTAAAGCTTGGAGACGTATTTAATAATCAGGGTAATGATTTACCTCCTCTCCTTGTACTTCCTCAGTTGCCTCTCAGTGTGGGCCACAGGGGAGGTGGTGGGTCCGAGGGGAACTGCAGGAGGGGAGGGCCTGTGATCTGACAACTTGAGGATGGAATTGGCTGTATTTTTTCCCCTCAGTGAGGCTGGTCCTACCCTGCATATTTCCTTCCATGTATACTCTCCTCACTGTGATGGCACCTCTGTATTTTTTTTTAATCTGTTTACTCTAGAAAGTTTAATTTCATAATAGTAAGCTTGTTTGTCTGAGGTTTATTTAGGGTCTGAATGCCAGGAAGAACCTGCTTAAGAAGTGAGCCATGGTTCCAGTCTCATGACTAAGGGTTTGGGCTGGTTGAGTTATAGGACGGCCCACCTTGTGCGGTGGGAAGTGTGAATGGCATCAGGTGGGAGGGGCTGAGTGCGGCTGGGGAGGAATATTGAGGCAGGCTAGAGCCTCCCTTGGTCATTATTATTGGAGAGAAGCGGTGGGAGGCTGGAGAGTTGTGGAATGGATCTTGGTATTTGAGTCTATTCTACTGGTACCTATAGTGAGGTCAGTAACCCCCTCCTTTACTTGAGGCTGAAATCAAAGCTGCTTGTGAGTCATTCATACTTGATCTTGGTCTAATCTCAGATCAGTGGCTTTGTGGACCCACTGTTATGAGTGAAACCAGACCCGTTGGTATGGTGTCGAAAGGGTATAAGGCAGTTTATTGATGCTCGAGTGGTGAAACCTGAATTTTCCTTACAGGGTCAATAGTCGTAAGAGTGGTAGAGAAAAAAGTTATTGAAAAAATTCATCACATACATATATGGGAATTACATTCTAAGAACGTAGTTCTTAGGAATTAAGAACTGGCTTCTACCTGGAATAGATGATCTAACCTAAGCCTTGTTTTCTCCACTCCAG